AATTTTATTTAAATAAAAAAATTAAAACACACACAAAAAAGAAACAATGCTTACCCAAATTTAAGACAAAAAAAAACACCTTAAGCTAAGTTTTACAATACAGGATTGTGCTTACATATTTCTCCCTTTGGAATGCCTTTTGCACTGTCCCTCAGTTACCAAATCCTATCTATCATTTTAGACTCAACTCAGGTTCTTCCTTTCTCAGAAGTCATTCTCCTGGCTTGTAGCCTATGGCCTGGTGTACTCACTTATCCTTCCCTGAGCCCTGAGCCCTGAGCTCTGAGCCCTGAACCCTGAACCCTGATCACTTACAGGCCTCAGAGTTGAGTGTAGAACTGTTTCATGTAACTGAAAGTTTGTCTGGGGAGAAACCCCAGGGAAGCAGTCACAAAATGCCCAGAAAGTCAAGCTCCAACATAATCTCGATGCCATGATCTCTAGACCCAAGCAGAGCAGACTGTGGCCTGAGTAGACGTCTCCTGGCCACCAAGTAGCCTGTTGCCTGGTCTATTCTTTTCTTCCTTCCCCTTAGACTCAGGGGAAACTCATCTACCTCAAAGAGTTGAGATGTAGGGTCTGGGTCTCAAAAAAAAAATTAAAAAAATAAGGCTAATATAGAGGACTGATAGCTGAGTATGGGACAGCATCAAAGATTTTCTGGACAGGAACTCAGTCTCCAACAGAGTGTAGTCTTGACTCTGCCACTATTTGTTCCATGAACTTAAACAAGACCTTTCTCTGGACTTCATTTTGTCAGTCAATACCTTAGGGGTTAGGTTCGATGACCTCTGATATCTCTTCTAACTCTAGAGAGACAACTGGGTGATCTCCACCTTAAAGATACTCTTGTTATACCAGTCACCTGCCAAGCTCCTGCAGGCTGACGAATAGCACTACCAAGGTTTCCTGACCATTCAAACTTCTTTTAGGACAGGGCAAGGGAAGCAGCATTTACCTTCCTGCAATCATGAGTTCCTTCTCAGATGCCCTTTTCCGGATCTTGGTGTAGATGTCCATGGTGAAGAGGGTGCTGGCGCTGTTGAAGATGGAGGTCAGGGAGCTCATGAGAGAGGCCAACATGACCGACAGCATCAGGCCTCGCAGTCCTGGGGAAAACAGAAATCAGAGTGGCACACACAGCACCTCTGCTCTTTTGTAGTGGGAATCTCTAAAAGCTTCTCAGAACATGCCATGTTCTGCAACTTATCTCCAAAAAAAACCGTAAGAGTTTGAGAGGATGGAATGGATTGTAGCTTTAAATTATTTTCATAGCTCACAGCAGCCAACCAAGAACTGTAGACAAATATAAATGAAGTAAGTACTTTTGCAACTAAATGATGATGCTAAGTGCAAGTGTCCATCTCACAGGATGTGTAGAGAACTCCTAACCAACATAGTCATAATATCGCAAAAAGAGATTAAACTAAGAATCAAAAGTTGGGGAGCTCTGGTGGCCTAGTGGCAAGAAGCTGCAACTACAATCCCAGAGGTGCACGGTTCGAATCCACCAGATGCTCTGCCGGGGAAGGAGGG